AAAAAATTTATTTTTTATTATATAATTTAAAAAATAAATTAAAAAATACTATTATAACAAACCCATATAAGTCTCCTATATCTTATTGAAATGAAAATATCCAACGCACTTGAATTTCTCACCGACAAGTAGGAATTATTAATTCATGGTCCCGAACTCTACCAAGCAGTTCATTGGGCCGCGCTCCTCAATGAGGAGGGGTAACGTTCACTTTCATTTGAGAATTGAATCCTCAATTTATAATAAACAACTAACCTAACTTATTAACTATTATTTTTATCAAAAAAAAAAAATTTCATGGTCCCCTCTCTCCATGTATTGTATATAAAACCTTTTTTTTTTTTTTTTCTTATATCTTCAGTCGTCAGCCTTTGTTAATTTTTTCCATAGGTGCCATGTGCATGTGCTATGGTTCGATAAACAATTGATCTTAAAAAGAAATAATAATACTCACGAGAAACAGACAACACTGAATCCAAGGAGGACTAAAATTGTAAGTATGTTGTTTAGGCAAAAATCTACTTTTGGTCCTTTACTTTATTAGTTTTGTAAGTTTTAGTTCTTTATCTTATACTATAACACTTTTAACCCCTCATTTATTATAATTGAAGAAAATAACTTTTATTTTATAATATTTCGTTAGTTCAGTTAACTAACTATAAACTCTGTTAGCTGAAATAGATTTTTTCTAATTAAAAATCAATTAATAATCAGTTAATAAATTTAACAATTAATTAACAAAATAATTATGTTAACTAACTGTTAATTTTATTAGTTAAAAATAAGTTTTTATCAGTTAACTGTCAGTTAATAGTTAGTTAGTAGAGTTAACAGTCAATTAATAAAATTAAAAAAATATTATAAGTAATGATTATTTTCTTTAATTCTTAGGTAAAGGGTTAAAAATATTATAATATAAGATAAGGGGTTAAAATTTATAAATGTAATAAGATAAATGACTAAAAAGTAAGTTTTGCCTGTTGTTTAAATGGTAACACGTGGCTTTATCGCATCACAATCAGGGGGAGACAAGGGGCTAGGTTGTCCTCGCCAACAAAAATGTTAAATTCATTAAAATTATAAAATATTATATTTAAAATTATTAATTAATCTTATTTAATTTAATTATTAATAATAATTATAATTACAATTATTAATTAATAAAATAATTAATATTTATTAATTAATAAATTAAAATT